TTGGGGGAAGAATCTTCATAATATTTGCTATAAATTGTAAAAGAAGATAGTTTAGAATGTCAACTCCTTGATATAATATATCTCATTACATGAGAGCAGGAAGGGTCAAAATTATATCTCCAGTGTCATTCTTATATTCTTTTATATGATAAAATATATCATAAAGAGCAATCAGAATCATCCAAAATCCGGAATGACCAAGCACATCTTCAGAAAACGGAGAATCCCCAAAAAGCCACATAATAATTGATAAGTGTATCTCTTTTAATCATTAATGCAATCAGTTTCAGAAAATGCATTAAAAAAAATATAGAAAAGCAATATTAACATCACTGCCACAAGGTGGCAGTCTGCAAACCAATACTTTTCCCGCTAGGCATGCTTACTAAGTTAAAACTAGATGTTAGCTACGTTATATCTTTCTTTGCAGTGAATGAGGACTCACTTATCCACACAAAGTCTTTAGACATGCAGGGAAATCTGTTTATCTTAATTGTTTAAACCTAAAAAGTCAATTACCAAAAAATAAAATAAAATAGGATTCTGATAGATTGGGTGTGAAAGATGCATCCAGTCCTTCGATAGTAATTATTTCTCAGGGCAGGAACCTCTAAAAGCGTCTGAAAGCAAGTTCAATGTTAAGATAAAAAGGTGCTTCAGAGATCTCAAACACCTGGTTTAAAGTTGTCTCCACGATGGAATGAGGGCAATTTGTCAGCTAAGGTACGCCAGGGTGTAGCAGCGCTGAGATTTACAGTCAGCACCGTCACGATCCTAGAGCACACACACTCAGAGGTTAAGCCAAGTCACATAGCCCTCTATTCATCCGCTGTCTTCCCTGATGAAAAAAAACCCACACAAGAAGAGCAGAGGGCTGTGGTTTGATCCCCACCGCAGGTTGTTTCATATCAAGAGGCGAAAACAACTGAAAGCCTTTCTGTTGTGCATTTCGCTGTGCCTTAAACACAAATCCATCAAGTCAGACGCTCAAGAGTTTCACATTAGATTTGAAATGAATGGGTGATTTTAAAATGTGTGAGATTTTTTTATTGCTTTGAATGTAATAACAAGAGCTCATGGACACACCTTGTTTTTGGCTTCACACATCCCCACATAAATAATCCACTACAAGGTCGATGCTTTTAGAAGACGTTATTGCGCGGGGCTCCCAAATCGCTCTTAATATTTAAAAGTGTCCGAGAGCTAATATTTATGGTTGGGTGTTCCCCGAGTCTGTCTATTGTACTGGGGGTGACAAGTTCCCCAAAAGTGGAGTAAAATGTCAATAAATCTGTGTTTGGAAATGCTATTACATCAATAAATCTCCATTTGCTATAAATCTGACAAGCAATAGACTATCCATGAGTTTCCCAACTATGCAGCTTCATGCTTGTTTCCATTTCGCAGTAATTCAGAAATGCAGCAATTAAAACAAAGCCTCTCGTTTTGTCCTGAATCAGACGTGTGTGTGCTCACATCTGTAACAACATCGAAATCCTCCAATGTTCGCAGAATGATTTAATTAAGGCCAATATTAAAAACAGAATTCAGCTGCTAAACGTGTTAAAGGGTGCAAATTATATTTGGTTCCGAGACCTAAAGTAGTAGCAGCTCATATTGATTACTGGATGCTGAGCAGAGACAGTAAAACATCAGGAAACACAGGAAAAGGAGGTCTGTTTTGACATACCGGTACAACCGAGACATTTCATTTCCACTAAAATGGAAAGCATTGTGTGTCTTGGTTTGCTCAGTGAGTATTAAATGACCCCCCCGAAGGATGTCTGAGTTGAATTCGGAGGTCTGTCGTCTCGATCACCGGTGTGGAGCTCCGAGCTGCCTGCTGGGCCCGTCACTGTAATAAGACCTGAGAGGAAGCAGATCCACCTGTAGGTCTGTGCTGACTGAGCAGGGGTGGCTGCCGTGGCAACGCAACACACAGGTTTACTACATTTAGCCTAGAGATGCACCAATAAATCAACTCCTAATTGGGAATGGACAGATGTCTGTTTTTCTGCGCTTACCTGCAAACAGCAGCTGAAAAAATATATCAAATTTGATCATTTTTAAATGCACAAAGACTAAGAACACCCACAATTTTAGTTTTACAAAAACATTGACTAACTTAGCCATTAGGGTTGGTTAAAAAAAAAAAACATTAATACATACACATACATATACATATATATATATATATATATATATATATATATATATATATATATATATATATATATATATATATATATATATATATATATATATATATATACATATATATATATATATATATATATATATATATATATATATATATATATATATATATATATATATATATATATATATATATATATATATATGTTGAAGATATATGCTGTGAGGATTTTCGATAGAGGTGCACCAGTTAGGATTTCTGAACCTAACATAGGGATATGCCTTAAACATTTATCTGATTTTCAGTTTATAACAAAAGAAAACTACAAGCTGTAGGTGAATGTGTCCATAAAGGTAAAATAAAACTATCCTAAGCTTTAATGCTGAAGAAAACCCTTTTATGTGTCCCTAGACTTTATTTACTTTTCAAAATGTACATCACACAATTGATTTGATTGTAGGCTAGGGAAGAATGTTTTTTTATTATTATTATTATTGTTATTCTTTAATCTTTTGGCACATCTCTGGCTTTCTCTTTCCAATCTACCACATGGGAAAAAATAATGTAATCTTTTATCTATTATACTCCTTGGTGGGGAAAAAAATGTATATGATCAAAATCAGAACTGCAAAGATAGAGCTCTAAAGAAAGCAGGAAATTGGTGTGAGCTCGGACAGGCCTGACTGAAGTATCTCTAAATTAGCCAGATTGCTTCCTGCTTGCTTGCAGGAAGGTGACCTGAGCAAAGCAGCATCAGTAAAGCGGTGAGGTTTTGAGGTGTGATGCTGGCATTTACTGGCAAGACCAGAGGGGGTAGAGGGCAGGAAAGAGGCTGGCCATATGTTTTAACAGCTGACCAGACCCCCCATTCTGACATGAAAGGACTGTTGAGACCACAGTGCAAAAGACAATACTCACATATATGTCTATTCTTACTTAAACTGCCTTACTTATCATTAACAGCCCCTCTTTAGATAAATACCTCCCTCTAACTGAGGACCGCCTCAGACTCTCAGACTCTGCACTCAATTATGTTGACTATTAGCTGTTCATTAGAGGTGAGGCTCCAACAATTATTTGACTTTTCAGCTGATGACTAATTTAATTCCCCGACTTTGCAACCTTGGGCTGCATTGCTCTCCTGGAACCTGGTCAAAACTAATCCCTGCTACCGCTCGCCAAGTTGCAATTTTAAGAAACCCTGTTTTCTGTCTGTTTTTGTTAAATGCCTCTTCACTTCTATTTCTATCATAACAGGATGTCTAATACAGCTAAGCCATATGTAATCGCGTCATAAATATTGCTATGATTAACAACATTGAGTTGGTGTCTGGCAGGCATGGTACCGATGTGCTAAGGGTTTTAAAAGTAGCAGTTTTAGGAACTATAAAAATACTTTATCATATTGTTACCACGATTTCAAGCCATTATAATGACTTGGGGAGGTGACAGAAGCTTTAATTTGAGAAGTGTAGTTCTTCCCCACCCCAACTTGTTGCTAAATGGCTTTTTATAAATGGCAGTGATCCACACTAGCACATTTCTGTTTTAAATCACAGTGAAAATATCGTGTTACAAGTGTTTCTTTTTAAATATCTGTATAAACAATGGCACTTTCACTCAAAGTTATTATACTGTGAGAATCCCTCCTTAGTCTGCAGGAAACTAAACAAAGCTGCATCTTACATTTAATTCATTTAAACCTAAAAACAAAATGTTTGGTTTAATCCCTCTTTTCTAATTGATCGATAGGAGGAAAAAAAACTACACATTTTTCACTATCTGGTTAACCCTTTGATCAGGTCAAATCCTGCATAACAGAAGTCATTTCTAATCTTAGATGCACTAAAATTTTGAAATTCCACCATATTCAGTCTATAAATGCATGAACCAAAAACATGCATTTTAAAGGAATTTAACAGAAATCAAATAAAAATCAGGGACTATTTTTGATGCAGAAATATTTATGTACTTCCTTTATTTTTTTACAGGATTCAAAGCTACAAAGGTTATTAAAGGTTTTCTGTGGTTCATTCCTTAGAAGAAAACTGTCTGAATGGATTTCTGCAGCCTGGACCAAGGGAACAAAATAAAAACAAGAAATTGCTATCAGCCAAAAATAAAAAAAATCCTGATAGCTGCATCACTAACAAACTCAAAGATGTTTCCAAACAATTAGAGATAAATCAATGAACATATAGTTAAAAAAAAAAGAATTTTAATGGTTAAATAGTAAATGCAGGCAGACAAATGAGAGATAGCTGGAGAAAAAAGAAGAGGGGGGCAGAGGGATCAGTGTCCAGCTCTTTTCTCTGGGGGTCCTGGGAGAGAACAGTGGATTCAGTGGAGGGTGAAAAACAACTTCTGACACCACATACCAAAATCAACCCAAACACACAGCTAATTTAGGCTGGATCCAATCCAGGGCTGCATCACTACACCATACAGACAATTAATAAACAAGGTGGCGGCCGCATTTGTACTCAAAAAGAGATGATTTCTCATTTTCCAGTAATCAGCGAGTAATGAATGGAAACTGGCTGCACTGGGAGCTATTAATCATCTCCAAGCCATGAAAAACACGACAATGTGTTAATTAGGCTGGTAAAGCGTCCTATTTAACAGATACAACTATTATACATCCCCCTGTCAGTGGTAACAACTTTACAAGTAACTCACATAGACTTTGTTTATTAATTGATATCAAACTAATTAGTCTGATCGTCAATAAATAGAGCAGTCCTGCATTGTTATTGGTGTTAATGGTTTTAATTATGATGACAGATCCACCTCTCTGCTACCACAAACACACACAGCTGTATGAGGGTCCGATCTGCTGTACCTGTGAATGCTTGAAGAAGGCTGAGATGCGGGTGATGTGCAGGCTGAGGCACCGAGAGGCGCATCTCGCTCGGTAAACGCTGCTGGTGAAGAACGAGTCGTCCTGCTTCCTCGCAGAGACGCTCATCAGGGCCGTAATCCACAAACACAGGCTCACGCACGCGCTCGGGCTGCAGGTAAACATCGTCGCTGCCGCCGCTGTCTCTCTTTTCTTTAATTCCCTTCGCGAGCTCAGACAACACTGCCGCGCGAGTCAAGCTCCACCGGAGAAACTAAAGAAACTTCCAATTATACGCCGGGGAGGAGTCACTGGGCTCGTGTGCCTCGCGATTGGATGATCCCACGGTGAGTGACGTGCGTGGGGAGCCTTAAAGCAGGTAAAGATTGCTTCACAACCTTCATCCCACAGACTGGTTGGGCAGGGAGGGATCTTAGGCAGTAATCCAGCAGAATAAACTTTTTTTTTTTTTTTTGTCAAGCATAATGAAGCAGAGTTCACTCACATTCATCATTATTAGGCACACCTGTTCATAAGAAATAAGATAATTTAACTTTATTGATCTCACATTGGAAAAATGTACCTCTGCTTTAACACATCCCCTTGGGGAGCAATGGGCTGCCATTGTGCAGTGCCTGGGATTAAAGGGGAACGCCGGGTTTGTTTGTTATTACATTGGCCCCTTGATTTTACGTTATTACATCATGTTCTACTCACCCATATGAGTTTTGTGTCATTTGGAGCCGTTCTGAAGATATTCCGTTAGGTTATATCCAAGTAACGTCTTCCTATGGGCAACGACTTGAAGGCACAAACTAAACTGTTCATAATTTATTCTTTATGGTACACCAACATTCATAACATGTAGGCGAATCACTGTCCCCCAGACATCCGCGGTTATATTTTTTATATTTATATATTTTTAAAACAAAGCGGAGTGTGTATGACGTCATCCACGCATGGAGATGAACAGGAGATTAATGGAGAGAGCGTAGGTGAGGAGGGTGCTCTGAAGCTTAAGGTAGCTCGATAATACTAATTTTACAGCAAAATATACTAAAGTATGTCTAGTGAAGGTGAAGAATGATTAACCGTGTATGTATGGGGCACATTTCGGGTTTGTCGTCTACGATGGCGGCTGGGGCAGGGGGTGGGGGGTATGGGGTGTCGTAGTTCATATGGGGCCCATCCAGATAACGTTGCTTACGGGCCTTTTGTTTTGTCGTTACGCCATTGCTTGCACCCTTCTCAGAGCACAAGCTCACTGCTCTGTTATAGGATTCCAGTTTGTGGTTGCTTGTTTTGTTTCTTTTGCAGTTTCACCATGCACCCACTAGATGGTGCCACTGTCCTCTGCTTGTCTGGACGGCTTCCTGTTCTTCTCACCTCACACCTGTATCCTATTGGTTCATCACTTCCTGAGGAGTATTTAAGGAGCAGACTGTCTTCACTTCCTCGCCAGAGTGTTTGCCAGTAGTGGGTACTCTAGCCCCTCCGAGTTAGCAGAGTCTACTTTTAGTCTAAGTGTCTTCTGAGCTCTTTCAGTGCTGACCTAGTTTTGTCTTTGATTCTCCGGCAGGATTTTCCAGATCCACTGGATAAGCTGGCCTTTCAAGTCTGGAAGGGAAACACTCGTCACACAGAGAAAGGAAGACGGATCTCCTCATCTGAACGCTGAGCCCTTCAGGAACCAAGGGTCAGTCTGCTAAGCTCCTCCTCAGGATCTACATAGTCTGCCTGTCCGCCCTCCAACGAACTAAATCTTCAACAGACCACGCCTCCACAAACGGGATCCAAGGAAACCCTCCCCAACAACCTCTGTGAGTCCAAGTTACTTAGTACTCAGACCTTTGGCCAGTTTTCCCACTGTCCATGATCTCACCACTCTGATCTCCTCCTAGAGCTTCCACGTCCGGTTCAGCTGACCGCAGGAACCTTCCCAAGCTGAAGAACTGTGTTTCCCCTAACTCTGTACAGTGATCCTCCAATAAACTGTTAAACCTTTCTCGGCCTTTGTGAGTGCTTCTGCATGTGGGTCAAATATATTCGACCCATCATGACACTCTGACCACTAGGCCAACTCTCCCCCCTGTTCAATACTTTATTGAATCCAACAGACAACCAGCCAATCAGATGACAGCAGCTCATAGCATTTAGGCCTCTACATGTGGTAAATTCACACCAAGCATAACAATGAGAGTGTCTTTCAACTTTGCACGGTTGTGGTTGAAAACAGGTTTTAATAAATCTGGAGTACATAATATTGGAAAATGTTTCATTTTGAAAATGGATTGCAGCTGCAGGGCTCACATAGAACCAGAATATGATATAATCAGCATGAGAACCTGGATTAATCTCATGTCAACTGTTGAGACTTGTGCAAACCGTATATCCAGGTGGTTTTTGGTTGTGCCATTAGTATCTTTCTAATATGATTTAAACTCTAAAACTTACTGATAGATATTGCTATGTTCATTTCTTTATGAGAACGGTGTACCGAATTTTTGGTTGCCACATCCAGCAGGATGATATACTCTGACAGAAAGCCAATGTCATTGGCTGTGCCTGAACGTCCTCCCCAACCCTCACATAGAGCACCGTATAAGGGTTGCGCTATTTTAAATGAGTGTCCAATTTTCTAGTGGATGGAAAAAGTAGTGGACTTAAAATTTTCCACAATGCATCCGGAAAAGCAGTGTACATCAATGGTCACTAGATGTGCAGATATACTTTAGAATGCTTTGCAAGAGCTCTCCTCGCAAAGCATCATGTGATTTGATTTTGGAGCAAAGGAGAACAAAAAAGGTGCGGGCACAAGTGGTCATCTGTTCCAACGGTCAGTTAACTGAGTGCACTTAAAGTCCACTTTAAAGTCCCTGCTCCATACAGTGATTAAGGGGTTAGGGTTTAGGGCGGATGTTCAGACACAGCCAGTGAGACCACTATACTTCAATAGCTCAAATAGCCACCAGATCTTGATACAATTCTGAGCTTTGATAGACTGAGAGATTTACCTCATCCTTCACCTGTGAGGTGCTAACATTGCCAAACATTTCTCAAGAGAATATTTCAGTCATCTCAATAAATTTTTGCTACAAAGAAGAGCACTTCCAATACCAAAAGAGAGTTCAGTTAACATTGCCAGTAAATACATAAACTTCATCTTTTGCGTCCACATTTGTTTTATTGTACCTTGTAAATTTGTACCCACTGTCCAGAACCACACATACAAATTGTAGTCAGTCAAAAACAAAAATGGATCTGTGTGTGGAATTATGAAGATAAGGGATTATTGTTCCAACTCTGCCACAGTGTTAACAGTTTAACACTTTCAAAATTGTTATTACAATTTGATATAATGTAGATCAATACAGACACTTTTTTGTAGAATTTAACTCCCTAGGAGTCAACCCTTCCCAATTCACTGTTAAAGGCAGCACAGGTAGGGAACTATTAATGAAGAATTACCATACATCTAGAAGATACTTTTTTTCTATCTCCCTTGTTACTTTCCTGGGGTAAAATGTGAGTGTTAAACAAACACCTCAAAATCAAAGATTTCAAAAATAAGTATTAGTTATCCATGTATTCAGTCTTTTATTTAGTCTTTCAGTTGATCTGTTGATGCTACTTGTAAATTGTTTATTCAGGAAGAAAATGTATTCTTAATACAAACATAAGATTTGGACTTTTTGTTGATTTAATCTTTGAATAAAAATGGTCAAACTAATACATCTTTGACGATGTGAGCCCATATTGGTAATCCAGCTCCTCTTTGCTGACGGTGTCTACTTATTGACTGAGCCCAATTATAGTAACTGCTGCTGGTGCTTTAGGAAAACTCCAAAATTAAGCCAAAAGAGACCCATTATGTCGATTTGCCACCAAGCAAAAGTGAATCTTCTCATTTAAACACATTAAATCCTTTGTTAGTCATTCGACTTTTACCACAGGCGACTGAGCATACGTTTTTGAAATATGCAAAAAATTTGAAATTTTGTAAATAAATGTTTAGATTTATTTTAAACTTAATGGTAAAAAAAAAATGTTCTGTCTGCTTTCCATTTACATCATCGGAAAATCTAACACAATTATACCCAAACGCTATACTTGTAAGAGACACCTGTCTTTGCTTACATTCATGTAAAAGTCAGTTTGTGATGTAAACGGTGGCAGGTTTCCTGCATCAAACCCCCACATTTGGTTTTGGAGACTCTGCCAACATCCCAGGGAAGCCCCCTTTCCCCTCAAGTGCTCTCCTCCATGTTTCACAGTAGCTTGGAAAAACAATTCTACATGGAAAACCATTAAAAACCTTCCAGAGTAAATTCCTCAAGATGGACTCCCAACTTCTGGCATCATTTTCTTGCCTAAGGTATGGATAAAATATGACATGTAGGAAAAGCTCGAAATCCTCTCTGTTTACGGGAGTTAGGGAGCGGGTGTTTAATTAGAAAGTTCCCTCAAGGGTTTACGAGACACCCCCACTCTTGTCAGCTCCTGGAGTATTTTCCTGAACCCCATTACAGCAGCAGCAGCAAATAATGGAGTTTTATAGGTGTTGCTCTTAAACCATATGCAGAGTGGGAGGGAACACTGACTCGCACGGTCTCGCCTCGGGGCCGTTTGTGTATTGAACCGTTGTGGTTTGACCCGTGTCTCTCCACTGAAACAGGAAATATGCCTTTATTAACACATCCTAAACTGTTTCTAGCAATGATTAGGGCATCAGGGAATATGCCTGAAAATTCCCATCAGACACACAAACTTGCTTGCCACTGGGAAGTAAAAAGGAAAATGGGCAGATTTCAACTGGACCGTCCCGCTGCCGTGAAAACACTGCCTGATGGCTCCCTAATGATAAAAGTGATGTGCACTCATTTCCCTGGTGGTCCCAGACGTACAATGGAACTTTTTTTTGGTGATATATCCCTTGCTACTCTTAAAATATTTAAACACGGATGTCTGTGTACCTTAAAAAACTGTGTAACGGCTTAATTTGTTGCCTTATTACAGCCATGTGTGATGGTGGTGAGGTTTTATGGTGTGTAGTGAAGAAAATACATTGTCTGTGTGCGGTCCTGATGTCTCCTGCAGCCCGTGGGACACGTATTTCTCTGACGCCATGTTTTCATTGACTGGGAAAGGCCCCCTTACCCGATGCTGAAATTTGGGTGCCTAAAATGGCAGAGTTCATTTGAGTTTCAGCTTTTGTAGTGAATACAATGTTGTCACTTCTATAAATGAACTCAAATCAAGATCCCTGAAGAGTTAAATATTGCTAGACATGACACCAAAACATTGCACATACGTTAAGTGGAAGTAAAATGCTACATTAAATTTTTCAACAGTTTTACAAATACATCTCTTAAAGTTAAAGCATGAATAAAAAATTCTACATTGGATTAACTCCGCTAGATTGGAAGGGGAGACTCTAGACACATCAATTTTCAAGTCTTTCCACAAATTCCCCTTCTATCAGGACTGCCATTTAGATAGTTCCATTTATTTTCCAATAAAATCAGACCAGCTTGTTATCGCTGCTTAAAAAAATCAATCACTTACAGTATCCTGCTGCCACCACGCTGCCACCATGACGTTTAAATGTCTTTTCAGGGTGACATTAAATGTCTGCATTTAATCAAACATGACTGTCATCAACATAGAAGGGTATTCTGGATCAGAGCTTCCAATGGTTGCTTCACTGCTCTCTCTCCTCCAAACTACACTTGCAGCAGCATATGGCCATACACGTTGTGACAGGCTTTTTCTGTTGAAAGGGAGTTTTCCTTTCCACTGTCTCCATTTGCACACTCAGTTTGAGTAGTGCTGCAAAGTTAATGATTCTACATTTAACTCTTTCCTGTCACCACATGCTTGGTGAGGGAGGAGGGATTGCTGCAAAGTACTGTACCTAATGTAATTCTGGGCTTACTCAGGCAAAAATATTTTTCTACCCAATAATAAACAAAGCTTGACTCCTTTTGCACAGTATTATGACTTCAATCATTCATCCATCTTCTCGGACTTATTCCATCAGAATCTTGGTGAGGGTTAGGGTGCCTATCTCCAGCAGTCTATGGATGAGAGGCTGGGTACACCATGCTGGTCGTCAGCCTTTTTGCAAGGCAACACAGAGACACACAAAGACATACAACCATGTGCACACACTGTCAATTTAGAGCAGCCAATTAACATAACAGTCATGTTTCTGGACTGTGAGAAGAAGCCAGCGTACCTGGAGACAACATGCAAACTGCTTGCAGAAAGAGAATCAAACTCAGAACCTTCCCTGCAACAGCGCTATACACTGTTCTACCATGAAGCCCCTTACTGTAATCATTCGGAAGTATATGTAACTAATTTTTCTCTTATAAAGTGCCTTAAGATGACGTTTGTGATTCACCCTGATTATGCTGTTTACCATTTTTCTGTGTCACTTACAGAAGGTAAAATACACTGAGTTTTGACCTGTTTACTAATTAGATTAATTCCTGAGACATGTGTTTGCTTTGGGTTTTACTTCCTTTTTTCACAATAAATATACTTGAATGCAAATGAATGCTACTCTCTTCAGACATGTATTGGAAGAATATATGTATTTCCTTTTTTTCACAATTCTGTATCATGTCATGTTGATCTAAATAAAATAAAACAAAATGCAATGCTTATTTTAGTTTTAACATGTAAAACTGGAGGGAACTGAATAGGTCTGAAAGGAGCTGTGTTGAGATTTCTCCTCCTGAGATGCATAAAATCTGCTGCTTAGAACACACATTTCTGGTAATCCACCGTTACATTCTCCCTTTTAACCAATTATTTTAATGAAGAACCATTGCTCTGTTTTCCCC